AAAATATATTTCTGTACTCCAAACAACAAAATTATTATATTTAAATTTTTCTGTGTACGTTATTCATTTAACGCCATTTTGTCCCAGGTTAGATTTGTCTTTTTGACATTGTTTTAAATCTTTTTTTTTATTAACATTGTATTTATATTGTGTCATAGATCAAATTTATTCGTTCAGTGTATGTTTACTTGTTCTTGTCTATATGTCTTTTTGGTCGAGTTAAGCCATTTGAATTGATATTTTATAGTGTGTCTTTTAATGTTGTGATGTTACACTACTGTTTCAGGTTAGCTGTTAAAACTTTAAACCCGCTTCATTTGTAGGCACCTGTTTTAAGGCAGGAGCCTGTTCAGTGGTTGTCGTCTGTTGATGTGGTTCATAAGTGTTTCTCGTTTCTCGTTTTTTTTATATAGATTAGACCGTTGGTTTTCCTATTTGAAATGTTTTACGCTAGTCATATTGACAATGAGGGTCGGTTGAGAACAAAACTTTACGACAAAAGAGATGATTTCAGCTTCCCAACTGGGAACTTTCCATTTCTATATAGCAAAATTTATCAGCGCCTGTATATGGAGTATATATTTTCCTGTAGAAAAAGTTTCATTCCAAAGTTTTGCAGAGGCCATCATGAATTGTTGTTACAGATGACCTTGTATATTTATGAATCACTTCTCGTACGTGATGTTCAGTAGCAGCATTGAGTTCAACCTTTTTTAAAACGTTTTAATCTACGATCTTCTTCTCGATATAGTACTTGCGACAATAAATGACAACATTTTTATTTCTTTGTCTGCTGACAAAAACAAAATACATATTCGGAGAACATTTAATTTGTTTCTGTGGCCGACTTTTACAAAAACGAGATAAGTGAGACGCATACAAATTACTAGAACGCGATTAAAATATTCAGATATTTCCATAAACGATATAACTAAAAAATAATCACTATTTTATCCGTGTCGGTAATGATAAACGAATGCTATGGATTTTAGTACCATTCTATTGAATATTCTAAAAACATATGCAAAAAAAAAAAAAAAAACAAAAACAAAACAAAAACCAAATAGATAAGATATTTTGGACCATCAAAACAAATAAGATCTCAGAACAGAACAGCCAAAATATGCTAGGGTTAATTTTGCCTGAGGGAGCTGCAAAATCACAACATTTACAAGTTGGAAATTTACATTTGAAGTTCAATAACTTACTAATGATATATAGTATCGAATAACTACCTACTTTACGGCTGGCACTAATGGGTTCTTACAGCTCGGTTATGAGCAAAGTGAAAAGTAAGAACCTGATATTCAAATTTTCGATCTCTTCACCAGAGATCACACCATTTTTGTGGGGTTCGTATTGCTCAGTCTTTAGTTTTCTATGTTGTGTTTTGTGTACTGTTGTTTTTCTTTTCGTGGTTCTCCGTTTTTTGCCATGGCGTTGTCAGTTTGTTTTCCACTTATGAGTTTGGATATCCCTTTGGTATTTTTCGCCCTTCTTTTCCAGTCATGTGGAAAATTAGAGGAGCAGGCGAAACTTATAAAAGAGGGACGAAAGATACCAGAGGGACAGTCAAACTCATAGATCGAAAACAAACTGACAACGCCATGGCCAAAACTAAAAAGAAAAACAGAAAAAAAATAGTGCAGATGACACAACATAGAAAACTAAATACTAAGCAACACGAAACTGCTTGCAATATAAGGCTGTGTTGCTAATAACATAGCACATATAATAAAAGAAGCTGCAATATTAAAGAATTTTCTGGAAAATAATTATCTGTAACATAGAAAAAGGAGGTCCATGTTTTAAGCGTCTGTGATATATCTGGACAAAAATTTTGTGAACGAAGCGATGATATCAACCGTTTTTAAACGAAGCAATTTGTTTTTTTCAGAAGGAAACACTTCAAATTAAAGTAGTTTAACAACGAAAGTCTATGGAATTTGTGCGTCAAAAGTCCTTCCTATGATATTTAGAACGTCAAGATACACCGTGCTAGATAATAAGCAACGGCCATTCTTACGAAGGCGTCGGATCGTCATAAAAAATAACAAGCTATCATAGTACACAAAATAAGTAAAATTTACATCTATATAACGTATTACTGGATAAATATATCAAAAAGGTTGTGAGACGCTGTTTTATTATCCATTGGTTTTGCGAGCATGTAGACTGTTACTTTTCTAGGTTGTATACATATGTTACAGGCATTTTCTAAATTTAGGCATTTTGTAAAATGACTGAATTTTTAGGCATTTTCTAAAATGCCTAAAATTGACAGGCGTTTTATAAAATGCCTAAAAATACCTTGTCATTTTCTAAAATGCCTGAAATTTCTTATGAAAATTCAACAAATTGCCTGTTGAGTTTCAGGCAAATTGTATAAATATGAAATACACGAAATAGATGATAAAAATATCTTGTAAAGCAAAGAAATATTGAGTAAAAATAAAGATTATTCTTAAAAAAAAATGTAGCCTGCGGGTAAATTTTGAGGTTTTGATAGTTATAATGTCTTTAACTAGAACTCCGTATGGAAAAACTACTCTGTTTTTCAGAGGGTCATTTAATGACCTTCTCTTTACAATGACAGAAGGGCACATTGTTCTTACAACAGAACAAAGATTTAAAAACCAATTAATTAAAAATGTCGATTCTAATCAGAAATGTGTAATATGGGACAGAGAAAGATATGAAACTATTTTGAACAAAATCAAGATTGGAATAAAAGAACATCCTTTGGATTATTGACATATGCAAAGGTATGTGCATTTATGCTGTCAAGCTATAATGTTGTTTTACAGTTTTCATAACAAACATTAGTAAATAAAAAATTAGAGGCTCCTAGGAGCCTGAATCGCCCACCTGGCAAAATATGCAAAATAAAAATCTGATGCACTCAAGGAATATTTTTAAGAAAAGGTCAAGTCAAATAAGGACAATATCATATATAATGAATTAGTTGACGACTTCTGTAAGATCTTGTACAGCGAATCTCTTATTATTATTATGTTCCCGCAAAAACTGTTCTGAATATGCATGAAATATTTGCCACTGGACGTTTAGCATGCGACAATCGACGATGCATTTGGACTTATTGTTTTTGCTCCGGTTTTTTCTTCTGATTATTATTTTTAAGTCCCCTAATCGGGAAAATACTGGACAATTGTGTAACAGTCGTTGTCATCCAAACATTGCATACAGTAATACATAATTGTCAACTTCAGTACTTGTGTTGACTGTAAATAAACTTTAACTGTTTAACATTGCATGCTATTCAATAATACAATAAACTGGTCTGTTTGATATTTCCAGTCGTTCTATTTTTGTGTACATTTCATTCTGTTTTGTACTTTCAGGCATTTTATAGATTGCCTGAAAAAAATAGTCAATTTATAAAATGTCTAAATCGCACAGGCATTTTAGAAAATGCCTTAAAATTTCAGTCATTTTACAAAATGACAAAATTTAGAAAATGACTGTAATATATACACCAATCAACATTAAGGATAAGGATAGCATACTTTCGGCATTAGAAATGATGACTTGTTACCTTGAAGAAAATTTGTGCTTATCTGCAGAATTTTATGAGAGAATATTTGCTTGCTGATTTGATACAAAAATAGAATCGTTCTTTTAGGGCCCGCTTTTCGAAACAGAAATATTGGGTCGTCATCTTGAAATTTCATTTCCATATTATTTAAAGATCGCCTGTGTAAAAAATAACAATGATGACCCCCATAATTCACTGATCGAGATAAAAACGAGGGAACATTTAGTTATAATAAAAATATTTTTTGCAAGTCTTAATCTTTAAGTGCCTGTTCTAACTCAGGAATCTTGTCAATAATTATCGCTGTCTCTTCAAATTATTTGATTGTGTCTTTTGTTAATTGGCGGTGTCAAAAATTAATACAACTTTATTGAATTTATTTAAAACGTGTCTAGGCTCAGACCATGTTGACCTCTAGTAAATTTTAAAGGTAAAACGATCTTCTCTTTATTAATGATTTATTTGACTTATATTAGTGGGTTGATGTCTTCTAACTTCACCCGTCTTTTCGCTTTACATATCTGTATTCATTCATATACTATTATGACCTAACGGAATACATGATTTGCTCGTAATTTTAAATGTTTACAAGTTAAACCCTTCTAAAAAGGTACGGAGTGCTTCACAGTATCATAAATTAATAACGTCGACATGAAGCCATCTTTGTAGATCTGGTCTCGAATACCCCTGTCTGTAATCTCATTCCTTACCTTTCGTATTTAATATCTTTCTTAATTCTATATCTCATTCTAGCCAATAGAACCTTACTCACTTCATAAAGCAAACAATCAGCCGATATTTGTTAAGTAATAATTTCAAGATTGCGTGAATATCGAATAAAACTAATAGCTTTCACACCGTGGTGAGAAGCAAAATGAGTAGTAATTCGAAAATATCTGCTTTTTAGCATCTCTTCCAGTGTAAACTTGTGCAATTAGCCCTCATTTACTTTGGAACTGTGTATCTTACGTTATTTCTTTATTTCAGATTTTGTGATAAGTTTTTTTGCTTGTTTTTTTAGATAAGCGATGGGTTTTTCGTCATGTTTTGATTTGAGATTATTGCTAGGTTTTCCGTCAGGTTTTGATTTGAGATTAACAATAGGGTTTTTCGACGTGTTTTGATTTGAGATTATTTATAGGGTTTTTCGTCATATTTTGATTTGATATTAACAATAGGGGTTTTCGTCAAGTTTTGATTTGAGATTCGTACGTGGTTATTCGTGATATTTTGATTTGAGATTAGTGATAGATTTTTCGTCATGTTTTGGTTTGAGATTAATGATAGATTTTTCGTCATGTTTTGATTTAAGATTAGTGACAGATTATCAGATTAAAGATGATATAAAAAAAAGTCTGATCTTGGTTGTCTAGTGTAAAAGAAGATCGTATATAATATTATTATCACCGGTCTGCCACCAGGAGTGTATTTTTAAACGTCAATACTAGATGTAATAGCTTTACTTGAAATGACATATGAAATTACATTTTACAAATTATTTTAGGCGTACACGGATATAGAAAATATTAGACGTCAAGAAAAGGTTGTAAGTTGCGTACAAAAGAATACATCAACCTTTCGAACTGTTTCAACCTTTAGATTGAGCAAGGAACATAAAATGTAATTATAAACTAAGAATGCTTTTAAAGCTATTACAAGTGACAACATCTTGAGCAAAGGCGTAAAATGTTTTAGATTTTCATGTTAACTCAAGCAAACATAGACATAATTATAGTATAGTTTTTAGATAGCTTTCAATGTAGCGTTAAAACAGTAATAGTAATGTTCCATTAGTAGTATTGATTTCTCAGTTAAGTAAAACATCTCCAGCAGGGTAACAGTCATCATGATGATTAATTTATACGTAAATTTACAATCAACTGACCAAACATCTCCCAAAATGGAAAATCGAGTGATGACGAGAGAGTTTGATTTAACAATTAAGAAACTCGCATTGAAGAACGGTGTCCTACACATAAAATGTATATATTTAGATACAATTTAAAATGTCTATTTATGGTGAGTTTTAAAAAAAACTTTATTTTGTTCTCCCAAGAGCTAAGTGATGTATTTAGATTATGGTGCCATAAGTGCAAACTACCCCACTAGCAACTATAACAAGAAAAACTCTAGCTAAAAAAACACAGTTTTGTGTAAGTTAGTTCTATATACAATACTAAGTGCTTCACCAGCTTATTTACTATTTTACAATGACAGACAAGGGAATGATATAACAGTTGAAAACAACAAATTTGCATCCTCGACTGAAATTAAATGCATAGCAACACTATTTATAAAGTATCCATCGATTTGTCATTAAGACAAAAAGTCATAAATGACATAAATGGTTTTTTTCAAGGATTGAAACTTGAGTAAAAAATCACATGTTTTTGTTCACATTTTTCCTGATATTATTACATTTCAAATTTATTTCTAGACTTTCAAACAAACAGTTTCGAATTTACAATATAATTGTAGGGTTTGATGTTCCGCCTGGAATTTCATCATCCGGATTTGTAAGAACGCCATCCAATCCTGGAATTATCTTTATCATATCGTCTTTCTTAGAATTTCGTTTCAAAAACAAGGAAATTTGTACCACCGATGACAGCATAGTAAATAAAAACGCTAAACCGGCAAAATAGAACGACCATCCATAACTATACTGGAAAACTAAATCACCGCTTTCATTATACTGTCGATGTCCAACTTCGTCGTTTATAGATGATATGTACAGAATTATTCCTACTGCAAAAGTTAAACCTGGAAAAAAAAAAAACTAGGTTACACATGTAAATGTACAGCAAAGTGAAACATTAAAATTCATTTTCAATTAATATAAAGAAATGTATTCATCAACACCAACGCGAAGACCGCACAAAACTGCGTCCTCTAACGCTCGGTCAAATTATTCATTAAATTACAGAAATTACGAAAAGTATTGGCAATCCAGGTACAAAAGTATAGATAGTACAGGAAAAAACTATCGGTAGTCAAGGTACAAAAGTATCGGTAGTTATAGTACAAAAGTATCGGTAATCCAGGTACAAAAGTATCGGAGGTCTAGGTACAAAAGTATAAAAAGTCCAGGTACAAAAGTATCGGTAGTCCAGGTAAAAAAGTATCGGTAGTCTAAGTACAAAAGTATCGGAAATCCAGGTACAAAAGTATTGGCAGTCTAGGTACAAATGTATCGGTAGTCAAAGTAATAAAGTATCTATAGTCCAAGTACAAAAGTATCGGTAGTCCAGGTGCAAAAGTATCGGTTGGCAAGGTACAAAACTATCGGCAGTCCAGGTATAAAAGTATCGGTAATCCAGGTACAAAAGTATCGGTAGGCAAGGTACAAATATATAGGCAGTCAAGGTACAAAAGTATCGGTAGTCCAGGTACAAAAGTATCGGCAGTCAATTTACAAAAGTATCGGCAGTCCAGGTACAAATGTATAGGTTGTCCAGGTACAAAAGTATCGGCAGTCCAGATACAAAAGTATCGGCAGTCAAGGTGCAAAAGTATCTGTAGTCCAAGTACAAAAGTATCGGTAATCCAGGTACAAAAGTATCGACAGTCTAGGTACAAAAACATAGGTAGTCCAGGTACAAAAGTATCGGCAGTCACGGTACAAAAGTATCGGCAGTCCAGGTACAAAAGTATCGGTAATCCAGGTACAAAAGTATCGGTAGTCCAAGTACAAAAGTATCGGTAGTCCAGGTACAAAAGTATCGGCAGTCTAGGTACAAAAGTATAGGTAGTCCAGGTACAAAAGTACCGGCAGTCCCGGTACAAAAGTATCGGCAGTCCCGGTACAAAAGTATCGGTAATCCAGGTACAAAAGTATCGGTAGTCCAAGTACAAAAGTATCGGTAGTCCAGGTACAAAAGTATCGGCAGTCTAGGTACAAAAGTATAGGTAGACCAGGTACAAAAGTATCGGCAGTCCCGGTACAAAAGTACCGGCAGTCCAGGTACAAAAGTCTCGGTAATCCAGGTACAAAAGTATCGGTAGTCCAAGAACAAAAGTATCGGTAGTCCAGGTACAAAAGTATCGGTAGTCCAAGTACAAAAGTATCGGTAGTCCAAGTACAAAAATATCGATAGTCCAAGTAATACAGTTTTGGTAATCCAGGTACAAAAGTATCTGTAGTCCAAGTATAAAAGTATCGGTAATCCAGGTACAAAAGTATCGGCAGTCCAGGTACAAAAGTAACGGCAGTCCAGGTACAAAGGTATCGGCAGCCAAGGTACAAAAGTATTGACAGTCTAGGTACAAAAGTATAGGTAGTCTAGGTACAAAAGTATCGGTAGTCCAAGTAATAAAGTATCGGAAGTCCAAGTAATAAAGTATCGGCAGTCCAAGTAATAAAGTAACGGCAGTCCAGCTAGGTACAAAGGTATCGGCAGTCCAGGTACAAAAGTATTGACAGTCTAGGTACAAAAGTATAGGTAGTCCAGGTTTAAAAGTATCGGAAGTCCAAGTAATAAAGTATCAGCAGTCCAAGTAATAAAGTATCGGCAGTCCAGGAACAAAAGTATAAGTAGTCCACTCCAGGTACAAACGTATCGGTAGTCGAGGTACACAAGTATCGGTAGTACAGGTAAAAAAGTATCGGTAGTCAACGTGCATACATCAACGTATATATGGGAGTATAGTTTGAAATCTAAACGGTCAAAATAGAAAGATATAAACTTGTTATTATTTCGATAATTAGGGCTTAATGTTTACGTGAAATTATTGTGTGTTTTATGTAGAAACATAATACAGGTCCTGTTTAAAAAATCCCAATACTGGCTTGACTTAAACGACCTTTAGAACGACCGTACATAGTAATAGGACACAGGTAGCTGGATCTCCTATCAGTTCTAACTGTGAGGTCAAAATTATCGTAGTTATTCGAAAGATCAACCAAATAAATAATAAAAACAGACAACCTCTAGCTATATAGACAACATATATCATAGCTTAAAAAGTTTCTAGAATGTTCTATGGTCAATAATAAAGGCTTTACCTCCAGATATATAGACAACAGATCCGATCAAGGTCTTTATGTCTCCTTGAATGTTTCCAATAGCACTCACAGTAAAACCGGTGACAAGTAAAACCAAAGTTATGACAGGAAAAACTGTAGATACTCTGTTGGCTCCTAAAAATATCAACTTTTTATTAATGAAATTGGAAGTAGGAATATTCCATGATTTATATTTAGAATACCCTTTATTATAGTATTATTTCCTGTTATTACAAGCTTGTGTGAATTATCATCGTATAAGTAACACAACGGGTGCCACTAGTGGATCAGGAATACCTTTCTTGAGCACACGAGTGCACCAAGGTTTCTGGTGGGGTTCGTGTTGTTCAATCGTGGTTATGAGCTCTAAATCCTTCAAGGCCCCTAAACTGGGACAGTGATAAAACAGCACAACCTATTTGTTTTATCAAATCTATATTTTTTATCATTCAGGGGTTTGATGACAATTCTTTGATAGTCTCTGCTATTTTTTCTTTACACACTTTTAGATTATGTGCGATTTAAGCATGACATATATTGTATAGACAGAGAAATGTCTGTTGTAGTAGATCACATGTTGAATTTTTATGTTTTTTAGTCATTTGTATTGTAGAGTTTATGTCTCATTGATGTGTACCACCATATCTCATTATATTTAAAACTATCGAAAAACATATGTTGACACATTGTTTCTTGGTACAAATGTTTCGAGATTTCTATGAAATGATACGAGCGTAAAGTCCAGCTATAAGATCGATTTCTATTTAACACAATGATCGAAACCATACTTTTCTAAAAGAAGAATAATGATATACTAAAGATTTGATTGTGTTTTCTTTCAGTAGACGTATTATCCAATAAAGAAAGGCCTGGCTCAAGGGGTTACAGATAAAAGATATCGAAGGTGGAATAGCCATCATCAGTGTCAAAACATATGTATATATATATATATAAACGAATTTGTATTTATAAACGAACAAAAGGTTAAACCTTTTATGAATATAGGAGATACTTTAAAAAACGAAACCTTTTGACAACACGTACTCTCATCAGTGTTAAACCATATATATATATAAACGAACAAAAGGTTAAACCTTAATAAAAGTTTTATGAATATAGGAGATAATTTAAAAAACGAAACCTTTTGACAACACGTACTCTCACCAAACCTTACAATGATATCAGGGATACCAGATATATGGTAAGTATATCCAGGGTCGCACAAAACATCTGTCGTAATGCCAAGTGTTAGATGTAAACAATGGCTCAGATTCAGTTATGGTCAAGATCGGTAAAAATGAACAAGATGCTTTGGAAAAATCATTCTATAATTATTCATGAAATACATGCGTGATAACGATTGCAACAGTAAAACCAATGTAGTTATTATATCACCTCAAATTGAATATAACAGATTCGGCTTCATATATGGCACGGAATGTGTTTCTTTTCTGTTTAATGAAGTCACTATAGTGAACACAAGAAGTCACTGTAATGCACACTTGTTTAAGAGAAATGATTTAAACCGTAATTTGTACACCATACTATATTTTTGATTAAGATATACGACTTTCGGAAGGTAAAATCGTCATGGCCAATAAAAAACATTCTGAAGAATGGAACATACCGTATCGTACGTACGCGAGTTTCTCTTATTCTGTTCATAGTTGTATACTTCTTTTGAATTTCCATAAGAAAAACAATCCTAGGTCAAAACATTGAAGTAATACTTCCATTATCAAAAGAACCCAGCTTCGTTTTTGTAATTTTAAACAAATCTCCGATAAAATCTTTAACGGTAATTCAGGAATGTGATAAGGAGAGTTGGTTTCATACGAAATTGTTATGCGAAAGACGAGCTTGAAGACAAAACAAACAACAGTGTTATAGGTTAAACCTATTAATGATTTGAATCCTAACAACTGTTGTCGTTTTATCAGATTAATGGAGAGTGAGAGTGAGTAAACCATTTTGTATTAACAACTGACAAATTTAAAGATGAATATAGCACTTGTTTGGTAATAGTTTTCATTATGGTATTTTGTATCAAAAATTTGAAAATGATTTGTTCTAATTTTATGTGACCTGCATGGAATATTGTTCTTTATAAAACAGGCTACATGAAACACTTACGCAAGGCAGGCTATTCATCTCTTTTGGTAGCAATAAGTGCTCTGTGACACCAGTATAGATTCATGTCCTCAATAACTTCAGCTTGTCAGATATCGATTCCGTAAGGTGTTTTAATTCAATCAAATAAGACGATTTAAAGTCGTCCAGTTGTATATTCTTGGGGCTTTTTGTACCCCTCGAAGAATTTGTCTTATGCATGAAGTATAAAAATAAGGAGATGCATTATGATTACCAAAGAGCCAACTATCCAGCAAAGATCAGTGAATGAGTATGTACACTTTTAAAAGTCTTAAGTACGGCATTCAATAATGTCATTGAGTAAAACCCATACCGTTAGCTATAAAAGGCATCTACATTTGCGTGAGTACGTCCGTATATCCGTTCATAGATATTTTAGTAACATATTTCTCTAAACAAATGACAGCATTTCAGTTCTATTTCAGCACCTTGTTTTTTTTAAACGAAAGAGGACACTGTCTAATTTTGTTGTTGATTGTTTACAGTCTACTACTACGACACAGTATTGTTTGATATATGATGTACCCATACACAAAATAACACACTTTAAATTTTAGATTACAATGAATGATTGTCTTACTCATTATAGCCATGGACGTTTCTTGGCCTTCCTCTCTTCCTTCATCTGCATTTTCATATCCCACATTAACACAAATGTCTGGGTAATCATATCCTACAAAACATATATAAAAATATAAGGAATATTACAATACCAGAGACCGTTTTAAACATGCCTTAAGAGTATGTGGATGACACAACAGTAAATGCTGTTAATGTAAGTGTTGTTTTTTTTCCATGAATTGTTCATCGAAGGCAGAAAAAATTATATGCATTACTTTAATTGAATTGCTTACGTCACTGATATCTCATACTTAACTTTAATTTGATTGGATTGCTTACGTCACTGCTGTCTTATACTTTCCTTTAATTTGATTGGATTGCTTACGTCACTGATGTCTTACACTTTCCTTAAATTTGATTGAATTGCTTACGTCACTGATATCTCATACTTAACTTGATTTGATTGGATTGCTTACGTCACTGATATCTCATACTTAACTTTAATTTGATTGGATTGCTTACCTCACTGCTATCTTATACTTTCCTTAAATTTGATTGAATTGCTTACGTCACTGATATCTCATACTTAATTTGATTTGATTGGATTGCTTACTTCACTGATATCTTACACTGAACTTAATTTCATTGTATTGCTTATCTCACTGATATCTAATATTTTCCTTTAATTTCATTGGATTGCTCACGTCACTGATGTATTACACTTTCCTTAACTTTCATTGGATTGCTTACCTCATTAGTAACTTATATTGTCCTTTAATTAGTTGAAATTTAAAGATTTTAAATGTCAAAATTTTGACTTTGAAATAAAAGTTCAATGATAACATGACATATCAGTATTAGGTAGCGGATATACAGGGCAATGATAATTTACAACACTCTAAACATATGATTTACTACAACTTCTGGTCAAATCTTTTTAAGATTAATTGTTGCTTGCTTAACGTCACATAGAAAATATTTCATTCATATCCAGGACGACAAATCTTTTCGACGTCACGACGATGGTATTTTTTAGTTACCCGAGAATAAGAATATTGACTTGGCACGAAATCAAACATAAGTATTTGACATTTTATGAAGATTTGCACAGATATATATATATATTAATTTTGACTAGTTGTTACGATTTGAAATAAAACCCATTTTACGAAGAAAACTGACAGCTAGATGGTAAACTTGTTCACAGGAGATGACTATTTAGGATTTGATCTGAAAATTATTTAGTGTTTCCGTGAAAATAAACTGTTTTATAATATTTAGATGTCAATATTCCCATTACGAAAGGTCTATACTAACGGCAAATTGAAGGATACGAAGGTCTGTAGGGAATTCGTTTGACAGTCCAACAGATATATGCTATACGATTTTGAAACATTTTCAAGGGATGCTATCGATTATGTGTTTATATTTTGTTAACTTTGTTAATTGCACATAAAAACCATATAACTATACGAAATGACATTTAGAAGACCAAGGTTATCTCATTATTCTCAATATGGATTTCAACGTTGACCGTATATATGAATCAAATAACTAAAGGAAAAATAAAACGGCTTATTGATGTTCGCTACTGTTTTACAAAATAACAAGCTTTTTAAAAGACTGTTATAAATTGATAGTATATAAATAATGGAATTGAAATATTGCTTATTAAACTATATGCAATAAAATTATGAAAAGAAAATTAGGGGTAAGCGGGCAAAAATTTTATTGGTACTACATGGATAAAACTAGAGGATTCCGAATATCTGACAGAATGTCAAATACATGAGTATCGAACATCTTTAAGTGAACTAATTGACGACATTCAGATTATACACGATTAAGCAAAGTCCCTATTGGGAGCTTTAATATTAGTCAAACAAATTTCTAAAAATTTCTTCATTTTGGTCATATAACAAAAGACAGTCAGTGACGACGTACCTGATTTGAGACGGGCACACAATGTTTGCGGGATAATGATAGTATTCCCTGATACTGGATATCAAACTCCTTTTAATCTCGATCTAACAAAGGGTACGTAACAGAATATACATTTTAAATATAAAAAGGAAAAAAACACTTGTTTCTAAACTGATAAACGTATACAAGATAACAACTTAGTAAAAAAAAAAAACAAGAAAAATATTTTTTTGTATAAAAGAACGCTCGCAATCAATAAAACCAATACTTTCTGATAAAAATTTAGGCATCCTACATTATGATATTGGTTGCTGTACCTATAATAGTATTTCACATGACACAACAACGTCATAAACAGTATAGGACGACAATTTCTTTTATTATACTTCACGTAAAAATGCAATATTTTGATTGGCTTATACGAGGGTGTTAATTTACTCTATTCTATGGTAAATATTCTATTACCTTTCACGGAGACGCTTGATCAAGTGTGCGCTTTATTGAATACGACTCTATCCTATGGCAAATACTCTATTACCCTTCACGGAGACGCTTGATCAAGTGTGCGCTTTATTAAATACGGGATGGTTGTTATGTACAAGACGTCATAGTTTATTACTTTGAATTTGAAATTTAATCGACATTAATAACAGAACATTCATTATAATAAATTAAATAACACATATCTCAGAGGGTGATAGAGCAGATTGTTACCCCTCGAAAAGACATTGTCAACCTTGGCTTCGCCTCAGTTGACAATGTTTTCTCGGGGTAACAATCTGCTCTATCACCCTCTCAGCTATGTGTTATTTATATAGTGTGATGCAAGAACCCAAAGTAAACTGTACACAATTTCAATGGAGAAAAACAACAAAATCATTTTAGTATTGCTTATAATTATAAACTATCGAATTTATTTTCATCCAAACACAATCAATAATTTGATCAAATTTTTAAACAGTTTTGACCAATTTAGTGTACCTTTATTTCTGTTGCAAAAGTTTTTAGGGATGAAATATTACGTCACTGCAAACACGAGCATACCAACCAAATAACAAATATATTATTCTTTTGGCGTGGCTCGGTATTCATACGCAATTGTTTTATTGTGCTATGGTAATTTTTTGTATTCTTTTCTTTCATTTTTTTCTTGTGTGCATTGTCTATAGAGTGTCTTTATGCCATTTTGTTTTTCTCTGACATAGTTGTTGGTTTTTATGGTGATTAAGATTATAACACAATGATGACTGCAGTACCCCAATTTTTTGCATTTTTACCTATTATGTCTGTTCGTTTTGCTCACACATTGTTGTCAATATAATGGAATTCTATGAGACTGTCATACAAGTGAGAGGTTTAGCTAGCTATAAAACCTGGTTTAATTCACCATTTTCTACATAAGGAAAAGCCTGTACCAAGTCAGGAGTATGACAGTTATTTTCCATTCGTTTAATGTGATTGAGCTTTTGATTTTGACATTTGATAATGGACTTTCCGTTTTGAATTTTCCTTGGAGTTCGGTATTTTTGTTATTTTACTTTATACACTCCATGTAAGCAGGGGGCAACGGACCATCACCATCAAGAAAGGGAAAATTAACAGTGGAATACATTTCGGTTTATGATATTCATGACAACAGACAACAACAAGAAAATCATAGTTTGAGCAATAAAAAACGCAACATCTGATGATAATATCAATTTCCACAGGAGGCTTAGCAAAGTCTAGTACGTGTTCAACCTAGAGCAAGTTTTATTTGAGAGAACACAATTTGTTTGAATAAGAGTTGAAGATTATTAATTGAACAATATAATTATAGATCCACTTCTTATTGAAATTGGGGTATATAATGATCGTTGAGTCCGTTCGTCCGTTCACATTTTGTATCCGTACTCCTAAACCAGTGGATTGATTTCAAGGAAAATTAAACAAAATCTACAGATATTGTGCACCCCTTTTTACAAACCTTTTCACGGTGGTATAATTTGACACAGTTTTCTAGTTACTTTTGTATTTAGATTCGAACACGACTTTATTTGTGTAAGACCTATTATTAAATCCAAAATATTTCAGCCTACACACGACAGCTAATGCGCACACTTAACTTATTAATGTAATTATTTTTATTTTTATTTAAATAATGTACTGATACACTAAACTTTAAACCATAGAATACTTCAAATTACTCATTTCTCTATTGGAACTTATACATGCAATATACCAATTTAAAGCTTCTTTCGAAATATTCAAAAGAAAACTAGTAGCATTATTTAGTTTTTTCTCGAAGGAGTTCGAATATCAATTTATTTTGGCAAAATTAACAGAATATGTGTCCGTGTTAACTGCAAATTCAATTAATAAGTACATGAAAATCTATTATTGGAGACCCTGAATTTAATGGAATTGTTATCAATGATTTAAAAGAAAATAAGTAAAATATATTTGACATGGCGATATTATTTCAGAAACATTAATTCTATTTGAGCAAAAACGTAAACGTTCAACCTAGAAGAAAAAGTAAAAACATATATACTTTAAAAATAAGTTAGTAAATCTAAGATTATTAAACAACAAATAGACCACAATACATTGTACAGAAAAGTGACAAAAGAACAAAAACCACACTAAAAATTAACAATTCCAAGTAATCCCTTCCGGAAACGTAAGTGGTGTCCCACGGACAAAATGTACACGATATGGCTTCTAACAACGAAATTTTCGTTTGGTATTTTTTACAACACTTAAATTTCAAACGGTATCAATACAATATAGTTTGTGCATTTGATGAAGTAAGTTAGTTACTATATAACCTAATACTTATTGACTTGTTGGCTGATTAGTATTTTCTTAATATCCAATGGGATATAATTTCATGCATTTAAAGATAAAAGTTTAAACAGCAGTAACAATAATTCTATTTTTGTATTTATTGAGAAAATGGAGCGGGGAATAGAGAAACGCACATATTTATAACTGAATTTATAAGAGTGTCAGGCATGGACGGCGGAAAATTGACGAGTGTTGCTAACCATCGAGTAAGAGTTCGAGTTGATGTTAGGCTTAGAGTTCGAATGCGAGTTATCCTTCGAGTTAAACTGCAAGTTCGAGTCATGTTTTGAGTGTGGCGGGCATGGTGTTCTATGAACACATATTCTTGTTTTTCATTTCTGAGAAAATGCATTGTCTATGGGTATATTAACACATATTATCAACTGAATATTTAATATTAGTTATGGATCTTTTAAGTGCTTTGACTAGAACATTAATGTCATATACTGTATATAACCATGGGATTCGATGGTCATTTTGAAGTTTCTAATCACAGAAGCAAAATGTTTACGAATGCTGTTGCGATTTGCAATTGTATTGAATAAAAAACATATTCTGTACCTTGCAATGCAATAGATATACTATCCGTTTTGTCGAATTACCGGTAACTTCATGACTTTCTGGTTAACTGAACAGCCCTAGATGTAACCCCCAGATTAGCTATCCCCATGATAGGATTTCAATTTTGTTAATCAATCCCTACGAATATACATGCAAGATAGTAAACTAAAACCATTACTCATTGTGGAAAATATTCAGGGTATAAAATCCCAATGTAGTAGAACACCCTTCAAACGTACATCTGTTTATAAAGATCCGACACTATAAAACATTTAATGTGCATGTGATTTAAAACGCAAAAGAACTTGCGATGAACAAGATAGGCTATGAAACAAAATCAGTAGAAATGGCGTTATTCTGAAGAAAAGCAACGGACATGTTGCGAATTTTTATAAGAGTGGACAAAGTCGGACCCTTTGTTTGAGTCTATTTCAGACAGCAACCAAAGAACACAAACAACTCAAAAACAGCAAGATCACACTGCCACAAGGTCTTCCTTGATAGACAGGGGTCTTTTATTAACACGAATGGTTTCAAATGGCAAAAAAATAAGATGTGACAAAAAAGAGCCACGAACGAGGTTTTGTTCTCTGGACAGGCATGTGAACATTTTTGAAAGCACTGAAATTAAAAAAAAAAAAGAAAAGAGAAATAGATCAAAAAGAAAAAAAATATAGATAGATAAACAATAAATAAATAGATAAGCAATTAAAAAATGAAATAAGATTATAATAATAAAAACAATTTGAAAGTAGAAAAGATAAATAAGTTAAATGAATAGAAGGAATTTAATAAACCAAATAAATTACATTAATCAATTAATAGAATACATCAACTTTATCAATATATAGGGCTGTACAAAACTGTTCTTGGGATAAAGCGGTCAGGATCTGTCCTCGGGAAGAACTGATTGATCTGCTCTAGAGTAGAGCTGTCCAAAACGGTTCTAATGTAGAACTGTCAAAACTATTCTAGGGAAGAACTGTCGGAATCTGTTCTGAGTGAGGACTGTCAAAAATCATGCAAGGATAGAAGTGATTCTGTCAGAAACTGTTCGAAAGATGTCAGGAGAAATGTTCTACAGACTGTTCTAGAACGGTTCTCATGACAGTTTCTGATAGAATTTAAGCGTGCTTAGAGAGATGAATATAATATACAGCAACAAACGACAACCACTAAATTACAGGCTCCTGACTTGAGACAGGCACATACAGTATGTTTGCGGACGTCCAACCCTCCCCTAACATGGGACAGTGGTGTAACAGCACAACATATGAACAAAAACTATAAAAATCAGTTCTTAACTCATCAGATCGATACAAAGCTTAAAAACAAAAATGTAGCTCAGTACAGATCCGATGGATTTAGTCATTAACAGTCAGAGAAAAACATGACCTTGTGCAATGCCAAAATACAGGTATCGACAGATTGTAGAATCGTGAATGTGCATATATGTATATAACAATAACAAAATCAATATTTATACCAATAAAAACAATATTTAAAGATCTAATTACAGTGTTGAATTGGTAACCTTTTAGAATAAGTTCAATATCTTTGGTTTTAATACTTTTTTTTTGAAAGTCGACATTCTACGAGTTTTAAACCATTTAGCTTACAACAAGACTTAAGTGAACTACATCACTTTATTTCTGTCGACATTTCTATCTATAAACTATGGTATAAATAAAAATCTTTATCTAATCAGAATAATATTTTAAGTTTTGACCTTTTCAGTAAAAATGTATAGTTTCTTCCGCCTGAGTCAGTATATATTAAAACCTCTTCTGTTTCACTTAAGGCTTAAATTTGTATTGCATGTTTTCAAGTGATTAAAAGTCTCTTTTATTGATTTGATTAATTGCTGTTTGATTATCGTCCAGTGGCAATTATTTCATGCATATTCAGAACGAGAGCAAATTAACAATTATTGCAATAGGAGACACATTGAACGGTTTTTGGTTATTCAGATAATTCCAGTCAGACTAAATAAATGAATTAACGTGAGGCGGAATAATGAACTAACTTTGTCTCAGCTGCTCTGCAAATATACATGTTAATGGAATTAAATCAGCAACACAAAAGTGAGTCAATGCCAATGAAAAATAGTTTCTCTAAAACAAAAACCCGGGGAAAATAACAAGTTCTTATTGATGTTTTCCTTCATATTCTTATTTTGAAATGTTGAAATGTAAAAGAAGATGAAAGCTGAAATATCTATCAAACTAAATGAGGAGACCTGATTTTTATGTGTCGGGTCTCAATCTTAAAAAAAAAAGTAGCTAGCAAACACATTGTAGTTTGTTATCTATAAAAAAAATGAACATTTATTCCTATGGTCTGATTCGGATTTATGACAATTTTCTTTATCCAACGACAGAATCAGTGAAGATTGACTTAAAATCAACAAAATATCAATACACCAAAAGCATACTTTCGAATCAGCAAGAAACAATCTTTGCTTTATTACAACAGTGCATGTACTTGTGTTTTTTATTTATTTAACGGTATTATAGAATTAAAAATATTTTTGTACTGATTTCAATTATACGTTCTTTTATATACTTTATGTTATATTCAAATGATCGAGATCTCTAAAAACTATTTTAACACCGTCAAAAGTAAGGGTCCTCGTGAGTTGTTTTCTTTAGTTATATCTAAATGTTCTTTTTTCATTTTGGGAACTTGGTCTGTTTGTGTGTTTGTTTGTTTGTTGATGTTTAAAGCCTCTTTTCAGCGACCTTGGCTATATCATGGCCGCCAGTTTTTATTGTTTGAGGAAGCCAGATTACTCAGAGAGAACCACATGACAGGTCTTGCGTAGTCTTTGTAAACTATATTCAACCCTTTAATACTCGTTAGAATTAAGAGCGTGTCATATTGTATAAACACTTGTCTATTATTGAAAACCGTACATAACCTTTAGATACTTTTTGTGTCGTTGGGTTGCTGTCTCATTGACGTATACCAAGCATTTCGTTTTAATCATATATACTAAGAGAAAAAAACAGTTTACGACTGAAATGATTAATATATGGACAAATGTATAACTGTCTACTGGTGTCTATTCAGGTGGGAATCATTCAATTACTCGTTCAGCATGGAAAATACATTCAATGTATCGTAGAGATGAATTTCTGTACTCTTCAAATGTCCAACATTGTTAGAACTTAGGGTCAAGTGTGAAGATATATCACAGCATCATTAATGATTGGAGTGGCAAATATGATCTTGTTACATCTAATCTGTAAATTGAAGAATACGTTCTCCGTATCTGGAACTTTTGATTTGAGGGAATTTAAATTGTTAACTGTCTGATGTTAAAAATCAAATTTATAGTTATGTTCGAAGAGTATGCGCTTGACACTATAAGGAACAAAATATGAACCGTGAAAAGTATGAAAGACACTTAACTACTATTTAAAAAGAAAACAACAAAACTAAATAAAAACCAAATATAGAAAAACAACTAAAAATATAATATTTAACATCTGTAAGTTTTCTATTTATCAATTTAAGTTAAACAGTGAAAAGTTTCACACACGAAGATATCAACACAAAATAGATGGGATTATGAAGCATTGACGTTAAAACAAGAGCTGCGTATTTAATTGTTTTCTTCAGTTTACATTACTAGATACGCATATATTACATAACGAAACAGGTGTAAGACTTACCCACAATAATGCAAAGGCGCCACAATCCTGTTCTTATATGGGCTGTAAATTTCAGTGTCCCATTTTCTATGTTCTTAATAGTCTCCTCTTCGGTAAACAACCACGAATCAGTGCCTACCGCAAGAGCCATAGTGCCTACTGCAACAGCGCCAAGACACATGGAGAGAAAGGACAGAAAACGGACATTACAATGCATTTCTATGACAATTAATGTCAAAACATTGCGACATTGGTAGTTTCACTTTAAAATCATTTCGATCACTTACATTGTAAAGTGTGAAAATAATTTCCAGAACGTCAAGTTTGTCTCTCGAGTATTTATAAGGAGAACTTGATGCGTTATTCCAGATTTTCAATTAAATAATGTTATACGATTCCAAGATAGTACCAACATTGATGGTCGCTAACGAGTTGTTCACAGAAAATCGAAATATATGGATGATAATCAAATTTGTTAATCTAATTACTTCTTTTATAAAGCAAACTTCTAAATTTGCGCATGCATGATTAAAAATCCGATAATATTGCTCAAAAGTTTCAATAAAATGTTCTCATTGTCTGGACACAGATACCTTAGTGTATTGAGTATTCGATACCACATCAAAGATCCCATTTATAAAAATTTTCTCTATATATATAGTTAACCAAATTGATTGTTCTACAGAGAGAAATGTTTTCAGTCCAAAATAAGTATTTACTTTTTTGTTATGCTGTTGTTATGAATAATCATTGATTTGTATAAAGTTATCACATGGGCATTATTTTATATTCCCATTTTACTTATCTCTACCATATAAATATTTTCAGAAGAAAACTGCTCCAAACGGTTTCAGAGGAGTCAGGAATTACGTAAAACTGTATACAATTGTTTATTTGTCGGGGTCTGTAGTATTTCAAAATAAATTGTATACTTTGATTGAATCTTGTAAATGTAATGCTTTTCATGCAAATGAGAGAACTGGGTAGGCTAACTAATTGCATCGGTATACCACCAAAAAGAAAACCGTGACCCATGTTGAATTGGCACTGCACGTTTTTTGTAACTCAAAATGCATATGGGATTTAATTTTCCGTGCGTAGGTATATTTATTATTAACGAGATAAAAAAAATGGCAAAATAACCGAAACATATTGCATATTATTTAAAATTCACAGCTGCTTTCTAAATTAATCCATTGTTTAGAGTGTAAATGTGATGAAGTGTGCTAGCTAAGTTTACAAATTGATCGTATTATTGACTGGTACTATGTCACTGTCATTTCAAGGACCCTGTGACAGCAAAATGGTTTCTAGCTTCTAATTTTCTATACAGAAAAATAACAATCAATAAAACGCTACATGAAAGTCACAGAATTATTTTCCCTTGTTATTATTACGACAGGTCCCTAAAGAGTAGCATATGCCTATTGTCACTTTTAGCATTTCAAGGAAGACTCTTTAACAAATATCTACAATGTATGGTTTTGCCGCTGATCGCAAGAAAACATATTATTTCCTCCATAAAAAATACGCTACGCTGACATTCGATTATATATCATGTTTGAAAGATTTATGCTTTGAACTGCTAACGATTATTACATTTATATTAAATGTTTCTGTCCGTTGGAAGAGTTCAGCTTACTTGCGCAAACATACATGTATTGACACAACAGGCATCAATTATTGGGCTAGTTCTTATCAGTTGAGGACAGCTCTGTTACCTGTCAATTCCAAATCAATGTTGCAAAGTATTGTATAAATCCACTTAAGCCCCTATGCGTCTTCATTAACTCTTATTTGTTTAAATAAATGAGTTCTTTAGTACAATAACAAATGTTTGGTTGAAAAAAATACCTTCAAACAGAACAACCCGGAATATGAAACAAAACAAATATAACAGAAAAATTACTAAAATCAAGCCCACGTAAGCTTATCTGTTAGATAAGTTATTATTAATAATCGAACTGCCAGGGTAAACTAGAGATAATTCATAAATGTACACAATATTTCAAATCAAAGAACATCTATCCTATAACTTATTCCACCAGGACTTGGACAAGAGTCATGTGTCAAGGAAACAACATCAAAATGTCAAAATAACAAATCAAAGAACATCTATCCTATAACTTATTCCACCAGGACTTGGAGCAAGAGTCATGTGTCAAGGACACCTATCCTATAACTTATTTTACCAGGACTTGGAGCAAGAGTCATGTGTCAAGGAAACAACATCAAAATGTCAAAATAACAAAACAACAGCAACGAACCACACCACCATTGAAGTCATGACACAAAATTCCACAGCCATAAGGAAAAGAGTGCATGACAAAGGCAACCTACGATTTTATTTGGTATGTACGTTTTGTATCTGTAAGGCTGTTAATTACAATTCATGGATCCAACAACAGCTTATTCATGTGTTATTGGTTCGTCAATGTAATGTTAACCAACATATATAAAAATAAGAAGATGTGGTATGATTGCCAATGAGACAACTCTCCACAAGAGACCAAATGACATAGAAATTAACAACTACAGGTCATCGTACGGCCTTCAACAGTAAGCAAAACCCATACCACATAGTCCGCTATGGTCATCATTACCATATTCCTCAACACTTATATGTTGTAAGGCAACCTACTTTTTTTAATATTATTTCTCTATCTTTTTCAAATCGACTTTAACCTTAGTGTTCATACTGTTCGATTCTAGTCGAAAGCGGAAAATCGTACCATGTGAACTTACCTTTACGCAGTGTCGATATCAGTAATTCTTTCTCATTACTCTATTTGAGCCTTTTTGTGTAAGGAGATCACCTCTGTTAATCAAGTCCGTATAGTGTGAGCATGCAGAGTGTAGCGTGTTCACATGGTACGATTTTCCTATCTGCTTGACTAAAATCTAACCGTGTGAACACTAAAGCCGAAACGTCATTTTGAAATCGAATCGTACGCTATTTCCATTCGACATTTCGACTGGAATCGGATCGTGTGAACGCCAAATCGACTGAATTGATTAGTCGATTGAAAAAACCAAGCTTATATTTTCAGGTTTATTGCTAAGGCACCAGCAAAGATCGTTTGAAAATCGGTTGAAAATTCCAATCGTGTGAACAGACCGCTTTTCGATTTACCTGGGAGACGTCTTTGAATAGGATGGAAAATTGGATAGAAAATCGTATCGTGTAAACGCACCTTTGGGGTATGTAAAGGCCATACGATGGAGCAGAGCGTATGTTATTGCTGTGAAATGGTAAACTGACAATCAATTGGAAAGTGGAAATCATGGCGTTTGTCATATACTCTAGTTTGAAGTCGTCCATAGGTGTCAATATTGAGGAAAAGATCAAGATATGAAGCGGACATATACTATTCTACTTTCGGCAGTATCCTTAATCGCATGTTCACTGGAATATATGAGAGGTAAGCACTCTTTGAAATGTGGGGTATTGAGCGACAGAAAATAATCAATATATCTCAAAGTGACATCAAAGAATTTTGCAAGATGCTTTTTCTGTTTGTCTTTAAGAAAGTTCTGTATGAATCAATTCTGTTTCATATGAGTACAAGAACAAGTCGGTCAGTAGTATTGCACAATTAGTAACTATCGGAATACCGACTGTTTGCTGAAATATCAATCCACTAAACTGAACAAATGTGTTGATGATCGATCAAGAAGTCCATCATTTTGATGATATATTCTTCGGTGTATTTATTGAGGGAATCAGTGTGGTTCTTCATAAAGGAACATTTTTTTTATGACTTAAAACAAGGATATATTATATCAAAATATTATATCAATAATCAAAGCGTGGTTTCAAATTTCATTTAAAACTAACTACTCCTTGGGTAGGGATAACAAAAATGCAAAGATCTGTAAACAGCACATCTTGATTTACTGCCGGCTAAATATTTTACAATTTTCATACGATCTGTACACCATGCACAATTTCCCTGGAAATTGTACAAGTGAGCAGTTCATATATGCATATACAATAATGAAGCCTAGATCGTCAAACAATTGTAAAACTGTACATGCTTATGCACGTAAAGTAAAGCAAGCAGGTTTCGTCATACAATTGTAAAACTGTGCACTTGAATTAAATCATTGCAGAATTATGAAAATAATTGTAAAATTGTGCACTTGAATTAAATCATTGCAGAATAATGCAAATAACTGTAAAACTAAGCACTTGAAAAAAATCATTGCAGAATTATGCAAATAATCGTAAAACTGTGCATGTGAATTAAATCATTGCAGAATTATTTAAATAATTATAAAACTGGACACTTGATTTAAATCATTGCAGAATTATGCGAATAATTGTAAAACTATGCACTTGAATTTCAATCAGTGCATAATCATGCAAAAAATTGCAAAACTGTGCACTTGAATTTAAATCATTTAACTTCTATTAATCATGTAATAGGAATTATGCAGCATTTTGCTATCGGTGTTCAGCACAAATAAAACTGTTCATGAATTGTGCATGCGCGATTAGTCCGATATATGTCTAGTTGGGCATGCCCACTTCTACATTTATCTGTAAACCCCACCAAAAATCGGGGGTGATTTCAGGTGCAAATCCTGCTCCACATGTGGCACCCGTTGTGTTACTCATGTAAGAAAAACCCCGATGATAAGTCTAATTCGGTAGGTCACATTCAGAGAAAAGGAGGACGAGACTGTGGTTACGACGATTGGAACATATCCGTCGTCATCTGTGAAAAAGATATTCCATAACTGTCAACCAGCTCGTAATGGCGTCCGTAAAAATTCAAACGGACGATTTCTACTTAACCACTTGGAACTCTTGATTTCATAGCTTCCTTGTGAGCAGCAACACTCAATCAAGGAAATCATGATAGGAAACGCAAGCCCTATTGTATATATCAGTTGATTACCATATTGAAGAACTTGTGCTTCCCATCAAAGATTATCCAATATTGTGTGAATGTATATGTGTTTTTCTTATTCGTTATACCAAACATATGAAGCTGATTAAGTCAAGTACTTTTCTATACGTTTATCAATATGCTTTTTGGTATTCCATAAATTTGGTTAATATAGCCGGAGTACTCACAAAACTAGCCTGTTTAAAGTGCTTGCGAAAGTTCGCAATGCATGTTTTATTTTATGATAATGATAATGTTCGTATTGCTCAATCTTTAAATATATGTGCAGTGTTTTGTTGATTGTTGATTGTCTTTTCGTATTTGTTCTGGTGGTAAAGGTATGTCTCTTTTCGATTTATGTTGTCCTCTTGTTATTTTCTTTTGACAAATTGTAAAAATGTTTATCTTTCATCAATGATTTTATAATTAATTCCGTTTTGATACTCTCCCTATGATATTTACCCATCGTCCTTTTTTACTCACGAGGAAATTATAAATGTAAATCTTTAGTCTGGGGGAAAACAATTCATTATTTTTAATTGGCTTTCAACTACCTCTCGGCAACTGCGAGTACTTCTTGATCAGAATGTGTGTCTTTTGTCTTTATGTTAGTTGTTTTGTGCTTCGTATCAATCCGATAAGTCAAGCCATTTCTAACTTTATTTTACAGTCTGTTCTTATGTTGTGCTTTTACAC